TATTAAGATTTAAATGAAGTATGAGGCTTCTGTAAGCTTGTTTAAGACAATTATTAACTTGGGGCTTGTAAGAAGTTTTTGTTTTGAATACCCAATGTGTCGCTTGGTTGGAAGTGGGGTTTACTCCAAGCTTTTTGACCAAGGTTCCATCATTTGGGCAGGAGGTAATTCCTCCCAAATCACCTATGGCTGATGTGGATGGCTTCCTTTACTGCACCTGTGTTATTTCTAAAGTTCATTGTTTCCTTGTTTCAGTTAAGTAGAATTTCTTGGCATTTGGTTTCACGATCTTCATTTTGCTTGAGAAAACAAACATAGAGCCCACTAGTTTTTTGTATGTATAACAATGGACCCTATAGATTAAAGTCAAAGTTCATGATGTTTAAAACATTGAAGATATACTTTCCCATTTCTAATGGAATTATAATGTTATTGACCATCGTTTTATGGAATTTCCTGTTCATTTAAATTATAAATATCGTACCATACTGTGGAGATTTACCAGCAACTCTTGTCACATTTAGAATCCATCAATAAAGAAATAAAGTTTCCCATTTAGAGTTCTGTAAAGAAGCTTCTATCAGTTGACGAGTTTTAGATATCAAAAAGAATATTTGTGTCATTTAAACTGTTATCTTTGTAGATCTGCACCTTTAGCCAATATGCCGTATTCTTCAGAAATTTCTGTATTAGTCTTAAATTAATATTCTATGATCTTAGTTGGCTCAAATAGGGCCTTGAGGTGAGTTCCATTCGACAATAGTTCCAAGTTCCACCTTTAAGTTTTATATTCACTTGCATCTATACCTTAGAGTCTCTGATATATATATATTTATGACCTTGTGAGTTTTCATTTGATTAACTATTCCAGGATTACTACAAGATCTTGGAGGTTGATTATGATGCAACTGATGAGAAAATCAAGTTAAACTACAGGAAGCTTGCATTGGTCAGTGTTCTTTTTTGTAATAGCTTTACTTTCTGATTCTTGCTGATGAGGAGCATCTTAGCAGTAGGTGGAGTTAGCCCATACTATTTTAAGTTCAAAAGTTTTCCGTAATTGATGATGTGAGATTTTCCCACTTAACAAGTCCCTCACATGCAGACCCAATATGAATAAATGATACAACAAAAAACTAATTGGCAATAAGTGGAGTAGCCCATATCATATCTAAGTCCACTAGTTTCCTCTTAATTGATCATTGTTGGATTTTCCCACTTAATTACTTTCAAATTTCTTTCATACTATTGCAGTTTCTTGTTCTGGCTATAACAGAGCTGATTATAGTGTGTTTCTGTGGTGTTTTTGTTTAGAAGTGGCATCCAGATAAACACAAAGGTGATAGTGCTGTCACTTCAAAGTTCCAAGAGATAAATGAAGCTTATAGAGGTAATTCTTTTGTTGAAATGGACATATGGCCATTTGGTGGAGCTTAAAACTAAGTTTGTGAGAGAGAAACATGCTTTCTTAAAAGTAGGTTTTAAGCCACTGAAAAAATAAAATTTAAATTTCCCCTCCAATAGATTTTCAAATTTGTAAGAGAGAAATTAAGAACAAGCTGCCTTAAAAGCTCCGCCAAACAGTTAATTGCCTACTTTTGGAATTTATGATTTGCAAATAAAGATTGATTTGAAAAATTACAAACTGTACATAATGGTGTAAGTTACACTAGTGTAAGTTGATTTGACTCTTTGTAATTTATATTTATATGTTTAACTGGAGATTTTGTACAATACACTTCTTATCCCTTTTATTATGATATCATATTGCAGTGTTGAGTGACCCTGCTAAACGCTTTGAGTATGATTTAACTGGGATCTATGAGATTGACAAGTATACTTTGGGGGTAAGAACTTATTTTTGTTATCAAGCCTAATATTGTCACCTTATGTTCTCTACGTTTGTGTGGTCACTACATGCTAGCTATCTTTGATGATCTGAATTTGCCATTGCACTTACAGGAATATCTAGCCAGATTTAAAGGAATGATTCTTACTTGCAATGGGCTTGGTATAAATCATACTTCAATATGGTATTTCATTCTCTATACTGAATTTTGAATTTTGAAAATAGTTTTGTATTCAGCTTCTTTAGTGGCTAACATGGGCATTACAAGGGAGAAAAAGTATTCTTTTTTCTTTTGCAGGAGTAAAGTAGTTACTATAGATTATAGGTTTTTGACTTTTTGGTGCTAGCTTAGATTGTTGATTAAAAAAAAAAGAAAAAAGAAGCATGTAATGCTCACCGATGAAGCTTTCAATGCTAGGCTAAGTGGCATGAGTTTGGACCCTCTCTAATCCTTAGAAGAGCTCAAAGTTAAGATGAAAGTGCTTAGGCTGAGTGGCATAAGAAAATACATTGTCTACTTTGATTTTAAGTGCTTGAAACAGATTTATGGATTTCATTTCGTGTTATAGATAACTAAAATGTGTAGCATTTTCTGATCTAAGGGTGCAAAAAAGTGGAGCCAAGCTGAAATTTTAGCGAGACTTAAGTCAGATCAAGTAAAACTTATATGAGCTCTCGTTAAAACCTGGTTCAAGTAAAAATTTCAAATATGAGCTTGGCTCAAAGCATGATGAGCTATTCGTGGTTGAGAGTTCAAGGTTGGAATCATCCAATTTAGTGTAGGAATTTGGATATGTGTGTGTGTATAGTAAATGATAATCAAGCCAACTCATGTACTTCAATTTTGAGTTCGAAAGCTAAAAGAGATTTGTACCATTTGAGCTTCTTTTGCACTCATTTAAATAACTTGATAAGGGCTCAGCTGGTTTACAGCCTTTTTCTGATAATTCTTCCTAGGCCTACCTTTGGTGGTTCCCTTAGAGGGATAATGCACAGAACAACTTGAACAAAAGTAATGGCAGATTCTTATCTTATATCAGCTAGGATCTTCTTTCCCTGTCTAAATTCTAATTTAATGCTCCATTCTGAAACAATTTTGAATGGTAAAGGCATGAACATACTGAAGCATCCATGCTGATATGAAAAGCTTAGAGGGTTAATGTTCAAAAGATTGCAAAATTTATCAAATACATTATGGTTAGGGGAGAAAAATTGAGTCACCATTTGGATTATATGGAATGACAATAGCAAAGGTATTAAAAATAATTTCTTTTCCTCCAGCATTCCAGCATTCACAAATGTTGATTCATGATGTTTGACACCATGTCCAGCATGTATACACTAGGGTTAAATTGAATGTCTGTGATGTGCTGATGCTGTGAAAGTCCTTAAGAAATATTATATGATTTGAGATTATTCTACAATTTGATTATCTAGGATTACTTATTTTGTTTGATTCCATTTAGGTTATCTGTTATTTCTGTTACCATCTAGAATTCATTAGGGTAAGGCTGAATTTGGCTTTCCTAGAATAGGACTAAGGTTTTAGAACTCTATATTGCCTTAGGGTAAAAAGTTTTAAGATTCCATTCTCTTTTCAGAATGAAAATGAATATTTCAGCCCTCTTCTATAATTTTCCTCTACTCTCTGTCCACTATCTAATCTGGTTTTCTCCTTTTTCATCCGGATTCACTGTGTTTTCCTTCCCTTTCCCTCTCTTTTTCTCCTGATTCCTTTGCTTCACCACTTGAGTAAGGTTGCTTTAATAGAAATTCCAGGATTTGAGACTAAATTTCATTTTAACATTACCTTGGATTCTGTTATTGTATATTTGCCACTAGTTTAACTTGATGGAAGAATGATTGGGGCCATAACAGAAGACAGCCAACACATCAAGTGGCAAAATGATTTGACCTTACGTTGGTAGGATGAGTAGAACTTCCAATTTCCAGTGATTAAAAGCTGCCTACTTCGGACTGTGTTCTTCCTTATTTGATGCAATTGTGCAATACCCTTCCATAGCCAATTTTAGAAATTTCCAAAGTATGGATTAGGTTTGAGTTTCTTACAATTGATATTTTTGTAACTTGCATCATAATTAGTTAAGTTACTGTATCAGTTTCGTTCAAAAAAAAAAAAAAAGTTAGTTACTGAGTTTTTAATGCAGGGCACAACAACTTACAGACACAGATGAATTGGCAGACAAATAAAGGTTTGGACTAGTGCAATTCAGTTTTAAAAATGCCCTGCCTGGTAGTTTCATAGCACCAGTCTTATGGGTATTGGTGAATATAGCATTCCATGCCCTTTTGACGGATGGGTTGCCACAAGAACTGAGCCGGGAATATCAATGTACCTATGAAAGCTGAATGTGGATCTGGTCTGCTATGAAATTTTACATTTTAATTAGACAAAAGTGGGCTTCATCTAGGCTAGTAAAACCCGTCACGCTTAATGTTGCCGTGAGATGTGTATTGAATGAGGCTTGTATATGCATATCTTGTATTTTAGGTTTAACACGATGGCAAAATGTGTACCATCTTCATATTATATTGTTAGACATGAACTTGGAGAATAAATGTTCTCTCTCTTTCCTTTCTGCATGTGGTTCTCAGTTATGAATGTTATGTATATTCTGGAATTTCAGTTGCCATACCCTGGCAACCTTGCATTCAACTAAATATTTCACATTCCAAATTTCTTCTTCTTGAGCGTCTAACATTATATGCGTGATTGCCTTATGGTTTTGGCTGAATATAAGCTAAAGAAATTAGCTGTGTCTGTGCTATGCTTCAATTTAAGTGGTCTCTTCTTAATTTCTCACAAAGAATTATGAGTGTAATTTTCCTTTTTTTTTTTTCTGGATTGCAAACCGTAAACATATTATTGTTCTCTACATGCCTTGTTAAGGGTTTTCCCCTTTTTTCGATCTTAGATTATGTCACTTTAATGGGTCAGAAGAGGGGTATCTATATTTTGTTAACAAAAGTTTTGTTTAATATGATTGTGATTTTTAGTATTTTATTTTGATTTTTAAAAATTTAGGAATCAATAATTTAGACAAGTTTGAAGATTTGGGTATTTGTTCTAAGAAGGTTAAACCTTATTTTGGCTCTTCAATTTTGGCACGGATTTATATTTAGTCTTTTAACTAAATAAATCTCTATTTTGATTTCTGAATTTATTTTTGTGGCTCTTTTTTTGTCCTTTTGTTAATTTTTTGTTAAAAAGACAAGTTAATTGATTGCAAATCTTATTTATTCAACAATTGAAAATGCGAAAATTAAACCATGTCAAAATTGATGATATGGACAAAAGCAATGCTAATTTGGATAATTAAATTGGATAATTAAATAAAAATAAACTTAAAAATTAAAAACTGAAAGATTAATGGGCCAAAAAGGTAAAAAACTTAAAGATCCCTCTTCTCCTTTGTTCGTTCTCTCTTCCGCCCAGAATGGAGTGATTAGAGATCGGAGACTTGGGTGGCTGGGCAACCTATAAAAACTCAGTTTGC